GACATGCTCACAGGGCAGACACAGGTAGGAGGAGGAAGTAGAATTCTAGCCAGTCTACATAAAGGCCATGGCAAGAAGTCCTAAGCCATGGAGTGGAGGACAGAACAGAACAGGGGAAAGATTAAAACAGAGGTGTGTCAGACTCAAGGTGCATGGGTTGGCAAAACTCCAGAAATTAAAAATGTGATCAGGAAAATGTTTAACAAAATAAATAAAAATATGAAATAGATAATGCTAATTTGTCGTTTTCAGAGTCAACATGTGGTCTGTCCTATTTGAGTCTGGAAAAACAGGCTTTAAAAAAGCTCATGGTGTTTTAAATGGAGCTACCTGACTAAACTTTTAAACCCAATCACACTGGCTTTTATTGAATGGCCAAAAATAGCCCCAGCCCAAGCTTCCTCATGGTTTAGCTCACTGATGGCTTAGAATGAGTGTAAATAGCATTGTTTTTTGTTCTGGCCAGAGCTCTAAGGATCTTCCCCTCCCAGACTGATATTTTTGTGATGGTAAATTTGGCCATCTTTTGTCACAATTCTTCCCTAGCCCTTAGTCATCAAATAGGCCTTGGCTCAGACAGAGAGGCCAAGGTCACTCACCACTTCTGGGTCATCACCGGTCGTCTTGACTTTTGTCTGGATTCTGATGGCTCTGTAGGAAAGAGTGAGGCTGATGATTTTTTGAAGCTCTGCCTCACTTAAATCCAATTTACTGGCCAATCTGCCTCACTTAAATCCAGTTCACTGGCAATTCACCCTCCTGATGTCACTGGTCTTCTGAGAATGAAGGTCAAACAACAACTGGGCTAAAACATCAGGCTTCTGGTCAAGTTAGGAGGAATTGGCCAGCAAAACCAAAAAGACTGCCAAAGTCTGCCTCTGAGATGTCCAGGAGGACGTTGATGATGGGGAGCCAATTGTGGAATTTTCACTGTGAGCATTTATACTTCAGAAATGACAAATGCTATAAACCAGGGCTAGATCTAGTGTTTTGTTAATTTCTGGATTTAAGAAAGTGTGGAGAAAATGATTAAAAAGTAGGTTAAATTTAAAAGTATGTCCTGTAGTTTTTGTTTTTGTTTTTGTTTTCAGACAGCTGATTGAATATTTACCCACATACTACCAAAGAGCTAACATCTGAAGATGCTTAAGACCGTGGAGATTTTAACAGGTTTGCCTAGAGGAAGGAAGCTTCCTCTCTGGACTTTGCTTGAGAAGAGATTAGGAATACAGTCACTTGGGAAATGGTTGCTAAGAATGTTTCTCTCACTGTCCCTTCCTCCCTCCTCCTCTCCCTCTCTATCCCCCAGCTTTCTTTTCTGATCCAGTTAAATATGTTCGCTGATCCTATGTTGGGGTTTGCCTAGGTTTCTGTTAGCATGGTTATAATAAAGTAGCTGTGCCTAAATGAATTTAAACAGGGATTCTTAACCTGGGGTTCAGGAATGTTTAAAAAATATATTTTGATAGCTGCAATTCCTTTTGTAATCCTGTGTATTTTATTTATGCATTTAAAAACAGTATTCTTAGAAGGGGTACATAGGTTTCACCAGATTGCCAGAGGGTGCCAGAATCCACAAAAAAAGGTTAAAAATCTTCATTGTGGAGGGCCCCAGTTTCACACTGAGGTGGGGGCTCAAGCTATATACACACTTACTATAAAATACTCCCACAAATATGACTCTGAAGTCTGTGTGTGTGTGGGGGGGGTACTACTGGCTGATGGAAGGGTAACAGTAGCTTTTCCTATCTCTCAGAAAAATAACTCAACCCAATAGCTAATCTATTCCCAATATTCAAAAAAGTTCACCCCTTTCATCATGGTGGTTAATAACCAAATCATAGAACAAGCCTTGCTCCTAATTGCTCTAGAATCCCACCTGCAAAGCTAAGGATTCATTGAAAAGGCCACAGGACCTTTGTCTAAGAGATTCTGAACTCTCCTAGTGAACAAAGGAGTGGTGATTCAAAGCTGGGCTTTTCACGATGGGGTGAGAGGGAAATGTGGGCACTACCCTGCTTTGAAAGTTGGGATGGGGTTCAAAGTAGCTCCTCACTTCTTATGACCCTCAACCACCTGGCAAGGTGAACAATATGTACCTTGTAGAGTAAATGGGAGTTATTTCATTAATCCATATTTAAACTTGGGGGAGGCTTTATGACCTAGTGCATAGAACACTGGCCTTGGAGTCAGGAAGACTCAAGTTCAAATCCATCCTCAGACACTTACTAGCTGTGTGACCCCAGGCAAGTCATTTAACCTCTGTTTGCCTCAATTTCCTCATCTGTAAAATGGAGGTAATAATAGCACCTACCTCCCAGGTTGTTGTGAAGATCAAACAAGTTAATTGTTATGCCTGGCACATAGCAAGCTCTATATAAAAGGTATTGTTGTTATTATTGTTACTGAACTCCTCCCTCAGAGTCTCAGGGGGATCCCAATCTAGTAAGATATAAGATTGTGACCTGTGTTAGTGAAGGGAGTTCTCATACGAGGAGTTCTCCATAAATCATTTGTGCCTGTTTAGCTTCTGACTCATTTTTCTGGGTATCTTTTCTGTCACTCCTGACCTTGTACCTAAACTCCCCAAGGGCACAGACTAAAAAGTCTCCTGTCATTTCCCAGTTACTAAATGTGCTCAGATTGATTGACAAGACTACAAGAAAGGATGGTATGTTGTTTGTTGTTTGTCCTTCAGAAGAGGACCAGGACATCAGGAAGATGATGCCATGACTTGCAAGTGAATTGGATTTAAATGAGGGAGGGCTGTGCAAAGTCACCAGCCTCCCTTTCTCCTTCGGAGCCATCTGGGTCCAGTGGCAAGTTATAAATCAGGAGATGGCCCCCAAGTGGCCCCCAAGAAAGAATGACAATGGAAAAGTGGAGCTGCCCGACCTAGGAAGGAGTATAAGCAAATTCTGAGTCGCTGCTATCATGCTGTTTTGGTAGAAAGCATCAGCTTGGAAATAACAAAGGTGAGAGACCAGCTTGAGTTTCCACATGCAAATCTCCAGTCACGACTACCTTCCCAGCATCAGTTTCCCACCCAGCGGCTCCATTAGTGTCACTAGCTTAAAGCAGCAATAGAATTCAGCTTCTGGATCTCTGCCCTCACTCACACCAGCTCTCCTTCTCTCCATGGCCGCTCATGCTGCTAAACTTTCTCAACCATCCTATCCCCAAAATGGGCCAGTGGCAAATGAAACTCATCAGAGCTGAACCACTGTGCCATCACCAGCATCTCCCACTGTTCTGTCCCCATTGAACTCTAAGTACAATTCAGAGAAAATGGATAATGAACAGGGTTCTCATGCCAACATAACCAGCCAACATAATGGCATCAATACAGCAGTGGTATAAAGGAGTTTCTTTCTTTTTTTCCCAACCATACTAAATGCATTTTGGTTTTTAACAGATGGGTATTTAATGGGCCTGGGTACAACATTTGATCGTTAAAACAAGAGGAGAGAAGGGATTCTCAGCCAAGCAAAAGGTTTTAGGGGGGGAAAATGCATGTGGAAACAGAGCTCTTATCATGTATGCATTTCTTCACTCATCCTGGCTTCAACAGATCCACATGGGGGTTAGCTCCAGATACACATTTCTTTATTGTGATTGACACTTAGTGTTTTCATGACGTTCCCTGTAAACCCAGCACATGGTTAGTGTATAAGTGATATTTGGGGGGTTGATATAGGAAAGAGGGTGTCATAGGGGCCCAGGGTTAATGAGGATTAGTAGAGATTTCAGCCCACGTAAGTGATAAGCCCTTATCTCATCTGCAATGTACCTGCCAGTCAATACTCTTCTGGAAAGGAAAGGGAGGTCAGTAGTGGCCTGGGCTATGCTCATCATTGAGGTACCCAGAAATACAATGTGGCCTACACTGAGACCCAGAAAGCTGGGCCTGGATTGTTCAGCCCACTATTAAATTCCAAACCAGGAGCTTGCGTCATGAGTATATGCTTGGCTAGTTCAATTTAATTTAACAAGCATTTCACGAGCATCTGTTATGTGAGGTACTGTGATAAGAGCTAGAGATACAGAGATAAAGATGTATATAAAGGATCTTGGTCGAGGAGTTCAATTTGATAAATATGGATGTGGCCATTGCCAATTCCTTAAGAGGACAAAGAAAATCCTCACTTGATCTTTCCATTCTGCTATGTTCTATTTTTCTTCTGCCCTTTATAGCTAAATTCCTCTACTTCATCTACAATAGGTGCCCCCACTTTCTCTCCTCTAGCTTTCTTCTTAACCCCTTACAATCCAGCTTCTGACTTAGTCATGCCACTGAAACCGCCCTCTCCAAATTTACCAATGATGCGTTAGTTGCCAAATCTAATGGCCTTTTCTCAATACTTATTCTTCTTGATCTCTTTGCTGTCTTTAACACTATTAATCATTCTCTTCTCCTTGATACTGTCTTTTTTCTGGGTTTTCTGGACACCCCTCTCTCCTGGTTCTCCTCCTACCTATCTGAACTCTCCTTTGTCTCCTAACCCTAGGTGTCCCACATGGTTCTGTCCTGGGCCCTCTTCTCTTCTCCCTCTATAGTACTTCACTTGGAGTTCTTATCAGCTCTCATGGATTAATTACTGTCTCTATGGTGAGGATTCTCAAATCTATCTATCTAGCTCCAGTCTCACCACAGGCCTTCAATCTAGAATCTTGAATTGGATAGGCAGTAGACATCTTAAACTCAATATGTCCAAAACAGAATTTAGTTATCTTTTCCCCTAAGCCTTTCTCTAACTTCCAACATCATCCTTCCAGTCCGTCAGGCTAGTAACCTAAGTGTCATCCTCACTAGGGAAAGTCAGCGTAAAGTCAAGAAGTGTTGTATGTGAGGAATGGCAAATAGGCCAGTATAGCTGGAAGAAAAATGCATTTATTAAGCACCTACAAAAATCTCATTTGATCCTCATAGGAACCCTAGGAGGTGATATTATTGTCTTCATTTTATAATTGAGGAAACTGAGGCAGACAAAGGTTAAGTGACTTGTCCAAGGTCACATAGCTAGGAGGTGTCTGAGGCTGGATCTGAACTCAGGTCTTCCTGACTCCAGGTCCAGCCACTCCATGCAGAAGGAAATCTACTCTTCTCAGAAGGAAGTGAATTGCCCTTCATGGCTAAGTAACTTTCCTTCTGTTAACTATCGAATAACCTATGAGTGTCTTATTTTGTTCCACCATGAGTCTTGAACTACCAGTGGGCTATCCTCAGTCAGGCTTTGCCCCCTCCACAAGAATGTGAGGCTCCTTACCATCCTGTCTTCCCCCTTCTGGACAGCCCATAGCTTATCAATGTAGCGGTGTGAGGGTATGGGGCAGAGTAGAGGTGAAGCATCACTACAGTGATCAGCCTGCCAATGAAGGGGTCTGGTTTTTGTTTTCCTGGTCAGTCCAGAGACCAGGGCAGTTTAACAGCGAGATCTCCCATCTCTGCCTGGTAGACATTATTGAACCTGGCATTCTGCTCAGGTGAGAAGTATTCCTTCCAGTTTCTTGTTACACCTAAAGGGAGAAAAGGACACTGAGTGAAATGCGGGGATAGGTGTAGCCCCCTCTTCTCTCTGGGGAAGCCCTGTGGGAACTCCCTAGGCGGGAGCACCAACCCTGGGCACATCTCCCCTGGCGCACCCCTCCTTACCTTTCCTCATAAACTTTCCCATGCTGTGGTCAAGTACCTCTGAAGGGATAAGGGAATAGTTGAGCTGCTCATTTTGACTCATGAAGGAAAAACTGCAGTAATGTAGGATGTTCTCGAGCTCTTTGGATTCCAGCTGCTGGTCCAGGAAGTTGCACAGGCTCTGGACAGCCCCATGAGGGTCCTTGGAAACAAGGCGCAGGGATGAGGCTGAGGCATCACTGCACCCTAACCTCCCCCTCCTCCCCCAGAGACACAGCTCCGGAATTTCTGCTGCTCCTGAGCAAGGAGTGGGGAGAAGCCAGGCTGGGGGAAGCTGGGGGTAGGCTTGGAGAACAGGGACCAGAGCTGGAGACAGGGGAGTGGGTGCTCCCCACCTATTCCAACTGGTACGTGTGTTTGTGAGTATATGAATATGTGTATGCTGCATGTATATGTGAGTGTGTGCATGAGAGTATGTGCGATTATGTGTTTGTGAAGTGTATGTGTATATGTGTCTCTGTGACAACGTGTGTGCTTTTGTGATTTTATGTGAGTACATTGTATATGTGTGTTTATGAATGTGTTTGTGTGAATGTGCATAAAGATGTATGTGTGTATTTGTGAATGTGTGTATATGTGTTTAAGGCATGTGTACGTGGGTATGTGTAATTATATGTGTTTGTGAAGTATATGTGTATGTGTCTCTGTGACAATGTGTGATTGTCTTTTGTGATTTTGTGTGAGTACATTGTGTATGTGTGTTTATGAATGTGTGTTTGTGTGAATGTGTATAGATATGTGTGTATGTGTTTATGATTATATGATAGGTGTATAATGCACGTGTATGTGTATATGTGCAATATATGTGTTTGTGAAGTATGTGTGTATATGTGTCTCTGTGACAATGTGTATGCTTTTGTGATTATATGTGAGTACACTGTATGTGTGTTTGTATGAATGTGTATAGAGATGTGTGTGTGTGTTCATGTATCTGTTTATGAGTATATGATATGTATGTGTGTAATGCTTCTGCCTCTGAGTGTATATGTGTATTTGATAGCTGTGTAATTATATGTAATTTATGTGTATAATATGTCTGTGTTTGTAACAATGTATGTAGGTGATTACGTGTGTGTATTTGTCAATATGCAAGTGTGTGTTTGTGGGTTAACTTTATTTTCCAGCATCCCAGCACCAGTTGCTTGTTTCTCTGGGAGTTTGGAGTATTTGGGAAGATTCCAGGGGAGCTGGGGAGTCAGCATGGAAGGCTCTTACTTGGGGAAAAAGCTAAAGGCCAAAGTCGGGGACCCTACCTACCTATCTCTAACCCTGGCACCATCAAAGCCAGGATTAGCCTTGGCTGGGGAGAAGGACACCCCTGAGAATATTGTGTGAAGGGGCTATGGGATCCGGCACTGAGGACTGAGCAAATGCAGTGGAGAAATGTTGATCTACAAACAAATGGGAAAAGGACCTACATGTACAAAAATATTTATAGCAGCTCTTTTTGTGGTGGCAAAGAATTGGAAATTGAGAGGATGCCCATCCATTGAGGGATGGCTGAGCAAGTTGTGGTATATGAATGTAATGAAATACTATTGTGCTATAAGAAATGATGAACAGGCTGACTTCAGAAAAACCTGGAAAGACTTATATGGTCTGATGCTGAGTGAAGTGAGCAGAACCAAGAGGACTTTGTACACAATAACAGCCACGTTATGCAATGACTAAGATTGTTAAACTGAACCCTTCTCAGCATTACAAGGATCTAAGATGTCTCCAGAGGCCTCAGGATGGATAATGGTGTTCACATCCAAAGAAAGAACTATGGAAGTCGAATCGCTATCACTTATTTTTACCTTCTGTTGAGTTTTATTTCATCTTTCTGATAGTTCCTCCTATTGGTTTTAATTTTTACTTACAACTTCACTAATGTGAAAACATGTTTAATGGGTATGTAAATGTAATTGTGCGCAGTCTTGGGGAGGGTGGTGGGGAGGAAGGGGGAGAAAAATTTTCAACTCAAAAGCATATGGAAGTGATTGTTGATAAATCAAAATAAATTAATAAAAATTTAAAAAAAATAAAGAAATGTTGATCTACCTGGGAGAGGTCTTCGTAAGTGATCAGAAAGAAATTCAGATCTTGCTGGACACCTAGCCATTCCTTTATATGGTTAAACCAGGAACCAAAATTCACTAGGGGAGAGAAGACAGAGAGAGGGTCAAGAGCATGCACCGAAGCCAAGGCTAGCAGACCCTCAGCTCTGACCAGGGGAGCTGCCCAGCCCACAGCCAAGGGAGGGCTCTCCCATAGGCAGGGGGACTTCTGTCTAGGGCCCAGAGGAAGGACACATGTTATTTGATTTTTCTGAAAGTAGCAGCAGAGGCCTCAGGCCATAGAGAACTTCCCAGCTGCTCGGCACCATCAGAATTTGCCTGAGTTGTTAATGAGACAGAGAGAGCCGGGTGGAAAATAACTCTGACCCTGACGTCAGGAGGACCTGGGGCAGAATTCCACGGTTTGCCGCAACCACAAGTGTGACCTGGGGAAAGTCTGGGCTTCATTTTCCTCATCTGTAAAATGAACAGCAGAGAGGAAAAGAAGCATTTCTATGACACTAACTATGTGCCGACTGCTTTACAAAAATTATCTTATTAGATCTTTACAACAACCCTTCAAGGTAAATGCTATGATTCTCCCCATTTTACAGATGAGGAAGCTGTGGCAAACAGAAGGTAAGTGACTTGCCCAGGGTCACCCAGTCACCAGCCTTCTCTGAAATGTATTGTTTAGACTGCAGTGCTCCTTAAACTATCAGGTGCGACCCTATGTTAGGTCGCAAAAAATCTGGCGCCAGTAAAGGGTTTCTGAACGCTCAATGATCAAAAGTTAATTAAAAATCAAACCCATAATGAATCTGAGGGGTTCAGAGCAGCACTTGCCTCGGTTCTGAACACAAAGCACATGCACATCGCACTGCGCACGTCCTCCGGCCAGGCAACACTAATGACCTCTACTAAAACTGGAAAGGGGTGGAGGATGGGAAAAGTTTAGGAAGCCCTGATTGAGAGAACTGCCGAGCTCCCTCCCAGCTCTGAATTACGATCTCCAGAAGGGCCATGGACAAGGCCAGTTTCCCCATTCCCTTTGCTAGTTTTATCTGTGGCTCTGCTCATGTTCCACGGCAGCCTTATCTCGTTCGGTCTGCCACGTGGTGGTAACACTTCTGGGTGTAGCCTGACCTAGAGTAAAGTGTATTGGAAAATATTTAACAACAACAACAAGAAACCCCACAGATAACATGACATTTAAAAAAGATATCAATATGCAGCCCAGAGGGATCCTTATGTGTGGTTTTAGGGACCCCCCTCTTTCCACTTGAGTTGGACACCATCATGTTAGACATAAGTCTGCCATCTTCCCCTACTTCAAACAGAGCAGACAGGGAAGGACAGGGTTGGAAGAAGCTTGTGGCTCCTCCCCCCTCCACCCCCAGACCCCAGCCATTCTACTGTTCCCATCCCATCAATGTCATTGGTGCTCCAGGAAGGAGCGGAAATCCCTTGACCAGGGGATATACCCCAAAACCACTCTATCGCCCTACCCAGGGTCTCGAACACCCCTCCCAACCAGAAGGTTAACTTTGCCACTGATGAAATCATAGAATCTCAGAGTGAGGAGGGATCTCAGAGGGCCCTAGAATAGAATGAGGAATCCCTTCTCAATTCAGATTCTGCTTGAAGTTTTCCAGGGATGGAGAATTTGCTTCCACTGGGAGGCTGAAGTCCTTAACACCAGAATGAACCCTTTCTATTTTTGCACAGCTCTGATTAGTGAGATTAGACATTAGACCAGACATTAGAAATATTTTTTGCGTGACTTTGTATGTATAATGGATATCATATTTCTTGCCTAATGGGTACATACTTCTTGTCTTCTGGGGAGGAGATAGAGGGAGGGAGAGAATTTGGAACTGGAAATTAAAATTAAAGAGATTAAGCAGACATAAGAAATGGGACTCCCCTCAAAAGGGAGCCAGCCAGGTTTTCCTATCAATTCTGTCCATACCACCCTGGATCCCCATATAATAACCTTTGCCCTCCAGGAACTGGTCAAAGAAGTCATCAAAGGAGCCAATTTCTGGCAGAAACTTTGCCAACTTGTGGAAATGATAGTAGGAGACCAGGACGTCCTTTGGGTTGCGTGCCAGGTACACCACCTAAGAAGAAACCAAATGAAGAAAGGGCAGGAACAACACTGAGCTTCTGGGGCAAGTTCTAGGGATTGTTGCCTAACCAAGTTCTTTAGGGAGTCCCTTCCAGCCCCACTTACTTTTCTCCCATCTCTATCCCACTTCCTATGCTTATGCAGAATCATGGAATTCAAGATGATTTAAGATGAGTGAACCTCATAGATCATCTATTCATAGGATCAAAGGATAAGGAAAGGTTAGAAGACACCTTCAGAATAGTATAGTCCAACTTCCTTATTTTATAGAAGCTGAATTCTAGAGAAGGAAGTGATAGAGCTGTAACTAAGGTGGGTCAGCTGAGGCTCTGTTTCAGGGCACTGAACTATAAAGGGTGCCAACAGCACCAGTACTACTTTGGCCTGCAGAAGCAATTGAGTCTAGCACTTAGCAAGAATAATTCTTCTAGGGGCAGCTAGGTAGTGCAGTGGATAGAGCACTGGCCTCAGACACTTGACCAGTACTAGCTGTGTGACCCTGGGCAAGTCAATTAACCCCATTGCCTAGGCAAAAAGAAAAAAAATCTTCATAAAATAGGAAACTACTGGATGCTCTCCGTGCTCCCAACTCCTTCCAACAGTGGAATTCCCCTTTGGCCTGGCCTCAATCTCCCCCCTCCCCCCATGCATCATCAGTGGCTTCCCTAGCAACAGCCTGAGGGAGTCCTAGGTCCTCTGTAACCTGGGGTCTTTGTCTCCACTTCATGGGAGTTTATGTTTGTGTTCTGAAGTCTCAGGTCTTTCCATGCCTTTACCTCACAGCTAAATTTAGCCCCCTTCCTGCTGTTTACCTGGGTACACCTTATGACTAGTACCCCATATGACAGTCTTGGGAAGTGACTTATCCAAGACCACATTGGTACTAAGTGGCAGAGCTTATATACAAACTCAGGTCTTCTGACACCAAACCTAGAGCTCTTTTATCAAACTCTTCATTTTGTGTGTGTGTGTGTGTGTGTGTGTGTGTGTGTGTGGCAATTGGGGTTAAGTGACTTGCCCAGGGTCACACAGCTAGTAAGCATCAAGTGTCTGAGGCCAGATTTGAACTCAGGTCCTCCTGACTCCAAGGCTGGAGCTCTTAAACTCTCCATTTTGAAGTAAGGGAGATTAGGACCTGGAGATGCTAAATTACTTTCACAAGATCACACGTCTAGTGCCCACATAAGAATCAGAGTTAATATTAATAACATTAATGCCAGTTAATTAAAATGGCATTCTTTTTCTTGTTATTGAGTAGCTGTTTGTCATTCAGTCATTTTTCAGTTGGGTCTGACTTGTTGTGACCCCCTTCGGGGTTTTCATGGCAAAGATACTGGAATGGTTTGCCATTTCCTTCTCCAGCTCATGATGTGGAAACTGAGGTAAACAGGGTTAAGTGACTTGCCCAGGGTCACACAGCTAGTAAGTATCTGAGGCCTGACTCCAAGCCTGGCACTCATCAAGCATGAAGGACAAACAACAGGTGAACCAAGATGTCACGCCTTGACTCCCTGATTGAGACAGCAAAGGCTTAATAAGCCATCAGGATCTTAAGCCAGCATGTGGTGTTTCTCCATTTTGAGTTATTTTGTTGCTGCTGACTTCTGCAGGCAGGGGAGATGATTCACACCAAGGGCTAGAACACTAAACATGAGGCTGGGTACTAACGGGTTCTTTTTGGCACGGGGAATGCTGTATTTCTGGAAGGTATACCACTAAGTCATTCACTCCCTTCTGCTGGCTGCTGGCTTTGGTCCTGAAAATCACCTCATGTCTCTCTTCAGCCTACTGAAGAATCAATTTCATAGCTAGAAGGGGATCACAGGGGCCACGAGGTACCAACCTCTCTTTTTACAGGTGGAGAAATAGAGGGACAGAAAAGTTGAGTGACTTGTCCAAGGTCACACAGTGAGTGTCAAAGATGCCATTTGAACCCAGGTCTTCCTGATTCCAAGTCTAGTGGGCCATCCATCATACCATGCTGCTGCCTGTCAACTAGCTTGTCATATTCTGCTTATATGTTTGATTTCCTCCACCCTGACTGAAAGCTCCCATTCCTCACATACATACAACAAAGCCAAGGGTTTGGCTCCTGAATTGAACTCAGGCCCTTGGCATCCTGGACCTGAGGATGCTGCATTGACTCCCTGCCTGCTCCAGGACCAACCACTTAAAAAATTTATATACATATATCTCACATACATATATATACATATTATTTATATACGTATACATTACATTCACACACACATATTATTCACATACATCTGTGCATAAACTATATACATATATGTATATGTGTATATTTTGTGTGTATATATGTACATGTATGAGTATTACGTATATATTTTATTCTGAACTTAATAAACACTAAATAAATAGGTGTTTCCTCATACAGAGAAGTACAGAACAAGTGGATTGTACATGAAACTGCAGGTCTCCATTGCATAGAACTTGTTTGTTTTTCTTCCTAAGTGTACGATAAACTCAGTGAGTAGCTTTCAAAGCTGTCCAGCTTCTCTCTGCTTCCTTTTGGCTTTCCTTCTCTTCTTTTCTCTGCATTTTTTAAAAAAAGAAGCTTTAAGGGCAGCTAGGTGCACAGTGGATAGAGCACCGGCCCTGAAGTCAGGAGGACCTGAGCTCAAATCCAGCCTCAGACCAAACGCTTGACACTTACTAGCTGCAAGTCACTTAACCCTAATTGCCAAAAAGTTGTAAAAAAAAATTAAAAAGAAGCTTTAATGGGGCCTCTTTTCTTTCTTTTGTTTTTCTTTTTCCTGCTTTATCTGTATCCCCTCTCACCCTCCTACCCACCTGTTTTGCTGTGTTTTTTTTTCTTAGAAAAATATAAAAAGATTATTTCAATAGATGCAGAAAAAGCTTTTGACAAAATACAACACCCAATCCTATCAAAAACACTAGAGAGCATAGGAATAAATGGAGTCTTCCTTAAAATGATAAGTAGCATCTATCTAAAACCATCAGCAAGGGGCAGCTAGGTGGCGCAGTGGATAGAGTACCAGCCCTGAATTCAGGAGGACCTGAGTTCAAATCCAACCTCAGACACATAACACTTACTAGCTGTGTGACCCTGGGTAAGTCACTTAACCCCATTGCCTAGCCCCCCCCCCAAAAAAGGAATTAAAACCATCAGCAAGCATTATATGTAATGGGGATAAGCTAGAAGCATTTCCAATAAGATAAGGGGTGAAACAAGGGTGTCCATTATCACCACTGTTATTCAATGTTGTTCAAGAAATGTTAGCTTTAGCAATAAGAGAAGAAAAAGAAATTGAAAGAATTAGAATAGGCAATGAGGAAACAAAACTATCACTCTTTGCAGATGATATAATGGTATACTTAGAGAATCCTAGAGAATCAACTAAAAAAAACTACAATAATAAATTTTAGCAAAGTTGCAAAATATAAAATAACCCCACATAAACCATCAGCATTTCTATATATTACTAACAAAGCCCAAGAGCAAGAGATAGAAGGAGAAATCCCATTTAAAGTTGCTGCTGACAATATAAAATGTTTGGGAGTCTACCTTCCAAGACAGACCCAGGCACTATATAAACCCAATTACGAAATACTTTTCACACAAATAAAGTCAGATCTAAATAACTGGAAAAGTGTCAGTTGCTTGTGGATAGGCCAAGCTAATATACTAAAAATGACAATTCTACCTAAATTAATTTACTTATTCAGTGTCATACCAAACTACCAAAAATTATTTTATAAAGCTAGAAAAAATGATAACAAATTCATCTGGAAGAACAAAAGGTCAAGAATATCAAGGGAATTAGTGAAAAGAAACGCGAGGGAAGGTGCTCTAGCTGCACCAGATCTTAAATTGTATTATAAAGCAGTAATCATCAAAACTACTTGGTACTGGCTAAGAAATAGAGTGGTGGATCAATGGAATAGGTTAGGTACACAAGACACAGTAATTAATGACTATAATAATCTCCTGTTTGATAAACCTGAAGACTCCAGCTTCTGGGATAAGAACTCATTATTTAACAAAAACTGTTGGGAAAACTGGAAAACAGTACGGCAGAAACTAGGTGTAGACCAACATCTTACATCGTATATTAAGACAAAGTATAGGTACACAATTTAGATATCTAAGGCTGAAACTATAGGCAAATTAGGAGAGCAAGGAATAGTTTACCTGTAAGATTTATGGAGAACAGAAGAATTTATGACCAAACAAGAGACAGAGAACATCATGAAATACAAAATAGCTAATTTTGATTACATTAAGTTGAAAAGTTTTTGCATAAACATAGCCAATGCAACCAAGATTAGAAAGGAAGCAGAAAGCTGGGAAATAATTTTTACCATCAATATCTCTGATAAAGGCTGTATTTCTAAAATATATAGAGAACTGAGTCAAATTTAAGAATACACATAATTCCTCAATTGATAAATGGTCAAAAGATATGAACAGGCAGTTTTCAGATGAAGAAATTAAGGCTATCTATAGTCATATGGAAAAATGTTCTAAATCACTATTGATTAGAGAAATGCAAATGAAAACAACTCTGGGGTACTATATCACACCTATCAGATTGGCTAACATGACAAAACAGGAAAATGATAAATGCTGGAAAAGATGTTGGAAAATTGGAACACAAATGCATTGTTAGTAGAGTTGTAAACTTCACCAGCCATTCTAGAGAGCAATTTGGAACTATGCCCAAAATGCTATGAAATTGTACATACCCTTTGACCCAGCAATACCACTTCTAGGTTTTTATCCCAAAGAGATCACGAAAATGGGAAAACTACCCACATGTACAAAAATATTTATAGCAGTTTTTTTTATGGTGGCCAAGAATTGGAAATAGAGGGGATGCCCATCAATTGGGGAATGGCTGAACAAGTTGTGGTATGAATGTGATGGAATACTATTATTCCTTAAGAAATGATGAGTAGGCAAGTCACTTAACCCTGATTGCCTCACCCAAAAAAAAAAATGATGAGTAGGTGGACTTCAGAAAAACCTGGAAAGACTTACATGAGCTGATGCTAAGTGAAGTGAGTAGAACCAGGAGAATATTGTACAATAACAGCAACATTGTGTGATGACTAACTTTGATAGACTTAGCTCTTCTCAGCAATGCAAGGATCTAAGACAACTCCAAAAGAGTCATGAGGGAAAATGCTGTCCACATCCAGAAAAAGAACTATGGTGTCTGAATGCATATTGAAACATACTATTTGCTCTTTTTTTTAATGTGTTCTTTCTCATGGTTTCTCCCATTAGTTCTAATTCTTCTTTACAATATGACTAATGTGAAAATATGTTTAATATGAATGTATATGCATAGCCTATATCAGATTGCACTCCGTCTTGGGGAGGGGGGAGGGGGAGAAAATTTAGAACTCAAAATCTTATGGAAGTGAATGTTAAAAATTAAAAATAAATAAATACATTTTTTTTAAAAAAGGGGGGAAAAAAAGACAAAGCCTCTGGGACCAATTTTACTTACTCGAGCCTTGGAGTTCTTCAGATTATGGATCAGTAATTTGGCAGGGAAGTGAGTGGTGAAGAGGCGTGGTTTGGATGCCTCCACCTGAGGCAAATAGTTTGATAAGTATATCTGCTCAATCCAGGGGACCCGAGCCCAGGTAGGTATGCTCTGGATGTTCTGGAGATCCTCTTTGTTAAAGATGAGACTCAGGATTTGCTGCATCCAGGTTGTACCTGGAAGAGAAAGGAAAGGGGAGGGGTTTTGAAGGCTGAGGGTAGGGATCACAGCTCCCCCCATTTTTCATTCTCCAAGAGTTAGAAACCACTGAATCCATAACTTGCTCCTCAAGCACAATTCTATTGGAGGCAAAGTTGGCCGTCAACACATCCCTATTTCTTCTCTCTTCAGGATCTTTTCTCCAAGGTGTGTGCTGTCCCCTGACTGCCCTTGGTCCTGACCTCAGTGTTCCATTCAGAACTGTGGTCTACAAATACTGGTGTTTCAGGTCAAGACAAAAGAAAATAGGCTTTTCTTCCCTTTGTTTCCAGAAGAATTAAACTAGGGTCTTCTCCATTTAAAATATCCTTTTCCATTCAATAAGTCACTCAAACAAGATTCTCTATGATGTGTCTGTGGGAAGAACCACATTGATTCCTGGAGATGAGTGTCTAGGAGGAAGGGGATAAAGATATGGTTGATCAACTATTAGGAATGCAAATCTAAAACTGGATAGTTAAATATCTTAATTTTCTTTCTTGGATTTCTATAAATGTTACCTAAAATTTTCTCAGGGCAGAGACAATTTGAAGGCATGAGGTAACATTGCCATTTGGACATCTCCTTCTCTAAATCAGGAATGACTTAGAATTAGATTAATTTTAAATTAAATAATCTAATAAGATTCATCTTAAATTAAAATTGTTTCTGGAAGACTGGTAACTAAACATACAGTACAGTATTAGTTTTTTTTTTCTTTAACAGCATGAAGAAGGATGATGCAGTATCATCTCATAAAACAGAGAAAAGCAGAAGAGTAAAACTGCTTGAAAGAAAAGTTTGGCAAGATAGGCAGCAAGTGGTCCCACAGGCATTCAAGAATGAGAATGGAAGGATAACTGTGAACAGAAGGAAAATGGAGATTTGCAAAAATTCACTATTTTATCATTGTTCAATTGTGTCTGACTCTTCGTGACCCTATTTGAGGTCTTCTTGGCAAAGATCCTGGAGCGGTTTGCCATTTCCTTCTCCAGCTCATTTTACAGATGAGGAAACTGAGGCAAACAGGGTTAAGTGACTTGCCCAGAATCACATAGCTAATAAGTGTCTGAGACTGGATTTCAACTGAGATCCTCCTGACTCCAGGCCCAGCACTCTATCCACTTAATACCTAAAAAAAGGTGACAGGAAAAAACATCATTAATTACCAACCTATATGCCTACTCTCCCATCTGCACAAAATCCTTCTGAGAATCATCCATATGTGAGTCTAGGCTATCCTTGATAAAAGTATTAGCAAGGAGCAAGCAGGCTTTTGCAATTCATATTCAACAATGGACCACATCTTTAACATCGCACAATTAACTGAGTGAGAGACAGAATATGAGATCCTATTGTGTTTCTTGTTTGATTATGGAAAAGTGTTTGGTTCAGTAGAACATTACCCTGACCTGAAGGCCCTTTTTCAGCAAAATGATTTGCATCCACATATCAAATTCACTCAAGATTCCTAGGAACAAATAACAACTGAAACAACCCTACTCAATTATGCTCTATTAATAAACATTGGCTTTTTTACCTTCTTTATTTTCTTTATTTTTGTTTTGCCCTCTGTTTTCTTTCACAACATGACTAATAAGGAAATAGGTATTGCATTTCTGCACATGTATAACCTATATCAAATTGCTTGCCTTCTCAATGAGGGAGGAGGAGAAGGAAGGAAAGAATTTGGAACTCAAAAATTTTTTCAAATGAAAGTTAATTTTCACATGTAATTGGAAAAAAATAAAATATTTTAAAAATAGAAAACCCATTTTAAAAACAAATAAATAAATAAACAAACAAAACATTGGCTGAGGCGTGAAAGAGGGAGATGGAAGCTTGCCAGAGCTTTTTGCTACTGTGACAGAGGAGATCAGAGCACAGTCCAGATCAAGGAGAGATTCTCTTGTGGATGTTTAAGTGCTCCAGATGCTTGTTTGCAGATAATATTCTATTAGTTGTGTTAAGCCTTAGAAGATTGCTGAGATCAAGGGAATTTGGCCTATCACACCAAAAAACCCAAGTAGATAAGGAAGGTCTTTTGCCCAGATTTCAACATATATTTAAATGTAACACTCTGTAGATCTTGTCCATCATTATGTATATTTGGGACAGAAGGGACAGATAGACAATGAACTGGGAGTCCAGCATTGATAAGGAGGAAAGTAAGTTAGATTGTCTTTAGAAAATTGCAAAGTTCTGTTATTGATCCCAATTTTCCCATGAAGACAAAGGTATATCTTTTTTAATGCTAGTATTCTACTAGTGTTGCTGTAAAAAGGTATAAAATACAACTGTCTATAAAGAATTAAAAATTAGCACCCAACAGAGGACAATAGAGAGGAGTATGATGGGTATGAATGGGCTGCCACATAGAACCAATGAGGAATCCCTGAAGGAGTCAACAGGAGTTTAAGATGACATCAAGGATTGTGTAATAGGGAGAGAGGATGAGCTGGTAATGAGGGATGATGGGTAGACAGCCAAAGTACTCTCCTGGAACCATCCCAATGTCAGGAGAGATTGAGGAAGGCCATTGGGAGGACCCCTTGTGGCAAATTTAGGAGAGGGCATGGACAAGATTTCCATGGGATCAGCAGGTATGAATAGGTTGGGTTGGGGTCTGCAACATTGGAAGGGACACCCAAATTAATGAGTGTAGATCCATTTGAGTATTATAGAGTATTTCAGTAGGTGGCAGACCCTGTGCTAGGTACTGGAGATACAAAGGTGGGGAGAGGGAAGGGAAGGGAATAAGCATTTATTATGCGCCTTCTATGTGCCAGGCACTGGGCTGAGCACTTTACAGATACTATCTCACTTCATTATCAAAACAGCCCTGGGAGGTAGGTGCTGTTATTATTCCTATTTTACAGTTGCAGAAACTGAGATGGAGTGACTTGCCCAGGGTCACACAGCTTAGAAGCATCTGAGGCTGAATCTGAACTCATCTTCCTGACTCTAGGCCCAGGGCTCTATCCACCGCCCCGCACCCCAAAGGAGCTCTGCATTGAAGATATTGAGCTGGAAGGAACTTTATGGCAGAAGGGAATGTGGTGGATCAGGTGCTTTCCTGATCCATGCCCCATTTACACTTAGAAGATCTCCTAGTCTATTGAGAAGAACAGGGTTGGGTTCAAATCTTACCCTTTGGTGCTTCTTGCCTCCGTGAACTTGACTTCCCTCCATTTCATCTTTGAGATGAGGGTGTTGGAGTCTATAGCCTCCAAAATTCCTTCCAGGTCCACATCTATCTATGACATAAACCCGGGTCGTCTGATTCCAGGGCCAATACTCTTTCTATGACAGTTTCTTTGGGTCCTGTTGCCTTGGCTTTCTTGCAGTGAATAGATTACAGGGTCTACAAGAATTAGGGGCGTGGCTATTAAAGGAGCAGGTGCCCTGTGTGCTGGGGAGCTGGAAAACAGAGGGAGAGAGGGAAATAGCAGAGTGATCAAAATCTGGCACCGGGCACGTCTGGGCTGGGCCAACCCATCAAACCTGCTTCTTTGAAGCGATTGCTGAAATAGTCATTCTAGACTCTTCCCTTTCACTTGCCCCAACACATGTCCAATTAGTCGCCAAATCTTATCACTTTTATTTTGCCGAGATGTCTCATATCAGTAAAAATGTTTTTAGTTTATTTGTGTCTATGGGGTCTGGCATATAGTAGATGTTTAATAAATGTTTATTTATTCACATAGTAGGTACTCAATAAATGCTTATTGATTCTTTGGTTTAAAGGGGATTCTTAAAACTCTTCGTATTCATGGACTAGTAGAACAGGCCTTTGGTTTGTATACTAGAGCTCTAGTTTCTAATTCTAATTCTGCAATTAACTGAACTAATCTTCTTGGGGCCTCTCCATTTCCTATCAAGCTGTCCAATGGAGATAATAAATTCTATTGAGTCTACCTGGTAGAATGGTTCTGAAGCTCACAGAGTGGATTGAGTGTTGGACTTGGAGACAGGAAGACCTGAGTTCAAATCCTGCTTCCAACATTTGCTAGCTGTGTGACATTGGGCAAGTCATTTAATCACTTTCAGCCTCAGTTTCCTCATCTGTAAAGTAGGGCTGATAATACCTCATAGTATTGTCTTGAGGATCACATGAGATAATGTCAAGTGACATAAAAATGTAAAACATTTCGAAAACCTTAAAGAACTATACAAATGTTATTAATTAATAACAAATATGAAAGTGCTTTGAAAAGTTAAAAGTTAGGGCAGCTAAGCACCACAGTGGATAGAGCACCGGCCCTTGAGTTAGGAGGACTTGAGTTCAAATCCAGCCTTAGACACTTACTAGCTATGTGACTCTGGGCAAGTCACCAAACCCCAATTGTCTCAAAAAAAAAAGGCTAAAGGTGTTGCACAAATATATGCTATTATTAATTTCAAATAACTAATTATATTATTATTAGCTTGGAAAATGTGAGCTCAACTCAAAAGAAGCTAGGTGGCTTAGTAGATAGAATGCTGAGCCTGGAGTTAGTAAAACTTGAATTCAAAGCCAGCCTCAGCTACTTACTTCCTGTGTGACCATGGTCAAGTCTCTTCATTTCAAATGAAGGGATTGGATTTGATGATCTCTGAGGTCGCTGCTAGTTTTAAATCTATGATCTTGTATTAGCCTTTGGGCATAAATGTCTTGCAGATCTCTTTTTACCCCTGGTCTTCTCTTTGGCTTTTCCAGGGTTCTGCTGCCATTGGCTTTCTAGAATTTAGTCATGGCCCCTCTGGAAAACTAGAAGTCCATGTCCTTTCCTCCATCAAATCAGAGTTACAGCTGAATGATGGAGAGCAGTTTAGGCTGTGTGACGGGAGCTGCTTGTCACTCAGAACACAACCACAGGGACACGATCTAGGATCATCCTGTGTAGGAAACATGAAGTCTGATTCGCTTCCTGCACTAACACCCATCTTAGTCTTCTGAGGTAGCCCAACACTATAGGATGTCGTAGAAAAAGAAGCCTGTTCAAGGTCCGCTTATCTGATTCAATCATTCAGCCTTCTCATCCTATGCCATTTCTTCAGATGTACTCATCTTTACTCTTAATTTACCTGTTGACTTTTGAAATAGGGCTTTTTGTACTACTGTGCTATAAGAAATGATGAAGGAAATGGTTCCAGAGAAACCTGGGAAGACTTGTATGCACTGATGCAGACTGAAATAAGTAGAACCTCAAGAACAATGTATACAATAACAACAATACTATAAAAATTAACTATTTTGTGAGACTTAAGAACTCTTATCGACTCAAAGATCAATCATGATTCCAGAGAACTAATGATGAAAAATGCATCCCACCTAATGAATTGGTGATAGACTAAATATGCAGAACGAGATGCACCTTTTTGGATATTGCCAATGTGAGAATGCTTGACTATGTATATTTATTATGTGGGTAACAAATGGGCTTTACTTCTTTTTCTGGTGGAGAAGGAAGTGGAAGGAGAAAAATAAATGCCTGATTACTGAGAAAAAATGCTTTTTAAAAAAAGAAATAGGGCCTACTGATCTGAGGTTTCATGATTATGGAAGTAGCCAAACTTGAGTTGTTCAAGGAAGACAAAAGAGCTGAGGCTCCTTTCATTCTGACCTCCAATTTATTCCATGCTATGCTAATTCAAAAAACCTTTGTGGAGAGATGATGGAGAGGAGAGGGAACCTCTCTGAGATCCAGAGGGGATCAATTAGGGCAAACTGCTTCTGCTCTGGATTTGCCCTCCCTTTCAATTAGTCAATATGCATTTAATAAGCATGCATTATGTACCAGCCACTGTTCCGCGTACTAGGGATATAAAAATAACAGAGAAAACACTCCTTGCCCTCAAGGAGATTACATTCTAATTAGTGAGACCAACATGTACATATATAGGTATATACAAGACACATACAAGGAGGAAAAAAGGGAGATTGTCAATTCAATTCAATAAACATTGGTAAAGCACTTATTATGTACCACAAGCACCGTGCTAAGTGCCAGCAATACAAAGAAGGAAAAGAAAGACAGTCCTTGACCTCAAGAAGCTTACAATCTAATGGGAGAAGACAACATGTAAAAGGAAGCTGGAAAGTGGTGGCTGTCTTTAGAAAAACATGGAAAAACTTGCATGAAATAATGAAGTGAAGTGAGCAGAGCTAAGAGAATGTTGTATACAATTACAGCAAAATTGTTCAAAGAATAATTGTGAACAATCAAGTAATTCTGAGTATTATAAAGACTCAAATCAACTATAAAGGACCTATGAAGGAAGATGCTATCCACCTCCAGAGAAAGAACTAAGTAGAAATGTGCATAGTATGTTTTACACATTTTTCCCACTTAATAGTATTTTGGTTTTTCCAATTACATGTAAAGATAGTTTTCAACATTCACTTTTATAAGATTTTGAGTTCCAAATTTTTTTCTCTCTCCCTTCCCTGCTCCCTCCCCAAGACAGCATGCAATCTGATATAGGTTATACATGTACAATCCCATTTGACATATTTCCTCATTAGTCATGTTGTGAAGGAAGAATCAGAACAAAAGGGAAAAACCATGAGAAAGCAAAAAAAAAAAAGAGGAAATAGTATGCTTCAATCTGCATTCAGACTCCATAGTTCTTTTTCTGGATGTGGATAGCATTTTCCATCACGAGTCTTTTGGAATTATCTTAGATCATTATATTGCTGAGAAGAGGTAGGTCTGTCAAAGTTGGTCATTGCGCAACATTGCTGTTACTGTGTATGGTGTTCTCTTGATTCTGCTCACTTCACTCAGCATCAGTTCATGTAAATCTTTCCAGGTTTTTCTGAAATCTGCCTGCTCATCACTTCTTATAGAACAATAGTATTCCATTACATGTATATACCACAACTTGTTCGATGAGGCAATCCCCTCAATTTCCATTTCTTTGCCACCACAAAAAGAGCTGCTATAAATATTTTTGTACATGTGGGTCACTTTCCATTTTTAATTATCTCTTTGGAATACAGACCTAGTAGTGGTATTGCTGGATCAAAGATTATGCATAGTTTTATAGCACTTTGGATATAGTTCCAAATAGCTCTCCAGAATGGTTGGTTAAGTTCACAACTCCACCAACAAGGCTTTAGTATTCCAATTTTCCCACATCTTCTCCAACATTTATCATTTTCCCTTTTTGTTACATTAGCCAATCAGATATGTGTGTGAGGTGGTATCTCAGAGTTGTTTTAATTTGCATTTCTCTAATCAATAGTGATTTAAGGTATTTTTATATGACTATAGATAGCTTTAATTTCTTCATCTGAAAACTGCCTGTTCATGCCCTTTGACCATTTATCAACTGGGGTATATACGTTTATAAATCTTCACCAAATAGTGGCATTTTCCAGTGTGGGGTGGGGAGGGAGGGAGAGATGGAGAGAGGGAGATAGTTTGGAACTTAAAATGTAATAAAGATAAATAAAATAAAAATTATTGGGGGTGGGACATGGTGATACTGAGGAGAGTTCAAGCCAAGCACAGCTGCAGATAGAAAGTGGGATTTGATCTGAGAGTCCAGATCCTGCCCTCTATCATCATAGAAACCAGGGATTACATGATATGGAAGTGAAGGGCACATTCTTAGAATGCAGGAGAATAAATGCAAAGGTGCAGAAATCAGAGACAGTGCGCTGTGTGGGGGGAACACAGTAGATCAGTTTGTCTGGATGGCAGAGTTTGTGGAGAGAAGAAATGGATAGGAAGATTGGAGGAAGGGGGGCTTTAAATGCCCAATGGAGTTAAGTGTCTTCAATCCCTTCAATCCCTAACAGGGAACCACTGGTACGTTTACTGAGTGGGGAATGTAGGTGACATGCTTAGATCTGTACTTTAGGCAAATAAATTTGACAGTTGAGTAGAGAATGGATTGGCATGGGGAAAGGTTTGGATAAAGGAAACCATTTAGAAGGCTGTTGTAATAGTCCAGCAATGATACAAAACTAAGCTCATGTCATATCATTAGATTTAAAAAAAATTTATAGATATTTAGGAAAAGCCAACTTGGTCCTCCATAAGATAGACCCAAGGACTATAAAACAATCAGGATAATTTTTATCCTTAGCAAATGTTAAAGAAGAGGTAACAAAGACATCACAGTTTGGCTTTGAAAGTCTCTCATAACCTACTTTCTCCCTCCCCCCACTTTTCCAGTCTTCTTGTCACCCACATCTTCCACTCAGTAAACTCACCAGTGGCTCCCTACGAACTATAGGATTGAAGACACCCATACGTCCCTTTCCTCCACTACTCTGCAATCCAATGGCGCTGGCTTCCTTATTCCTCACACAAGATGTTCCATCTCCTGACTCCAGGTGTTGTTTTCCTTGACCGTCCCTTATGCCTGGAATGCTCTCACTCCTGATCTCCATTTGGTAGCTTCCCTGGATTCCATTGGGTCGCACTTAAAATCTCACCTTCTGCAAGAAGCCTTTCCCAATCCCCCTTCATGCTAAAACTCCCTCTAGGACTCTCTCCAATTTATCCTATCTATATTTTGTTTGCATGACATCTTCTGAAAACCCCAAAACACTGGGATTCTTCACATCTCTCTCACTATATAGCTACCCTACACACATGCAGAAGATTCTTCTCTTTTCTTTCCCACCACCCTGCACACCTACCCTTTCCCATCGAACTCTGGCAGAATGAAGACAGCACTCTCAGCAGGATGCCAAGCCCCAAAAGGAGGCACTAAGATAATAGAGTACCAAAAGAAAGGAGAGGATGAGGTTGGGAGAGAACAGTCAGAGCAGTCACAGATCTCTGGGAATAGGTAATAACTAAGAGTCTTGGCCTTTGGTTAACTCTTCCCAAAGCTTACAGTTTGGCAGATGGAGGCGGACTAATCTGTAGGGAGGTGGTCTGGAATCCAACTCAACTCTGACTTACCCACATAGAAAAAATCCAAGCTAACAGACGCACTTCTTTGCTTACTACGGAATGCCATCATGGAATGACTCTTAGGGTTACCATATATGAATTTAGACCGAGCAGACCTAGTAAGAACAATCTCCCACCAAATGCAAGATAGAAATTTCAGAGGGCCAGAAAACAAGGAGTGGACATTTGGTATGGGAGGGGCACCAAGAGGTTGAAATAGGAGCACTGAAAGGGAGGTGGGAAGGTTGGCCAAAGCCAAGAACCATTTCACAGTTTTGCAGGGAGGCAATTCTGCCAGCTGCATTTGTTACCTGACTTTGGGAAGGTGACCAAGAGGACATCTGTGTCTTGAAACTGGAAGTTGGTGGCAGCGTGCAGGCTCTCTTGGGTGTGCAGCTGTCCTGGCATGGAGATGCCCCTAAAGACTTCAGTCACCTGAAGCCTGGCCATGATAGTAGCTCCTCTGCAGGGAAAGGGGAACCCAACATAAATGTTAGAGAAATTATCTGAAAAGATCTACTGCTTGGAGAATTCTAGGTCTATAAGTCCCTAGGAAGAAGATGAAAGTCCAGAGGAGCCAGTCTTCAATACATTCCAGTTCTGGGTATGGAAGGTTGTTCTATGTTGCCAAATGCATTACTTAGCTTGTCTAGTATAGTTTTATTATCTATTTGCTCCTATAACTCATTTAACTTCTTCAAGAACTTGGCTATGGAACTTTGCATCCTTTTGACCCAGCAATACTGCTACTAGGTCTGTACCCCAAAGAGATCAAAGGAAAAAGAAAAAGACTCATATGTACAAAAAATATTTATAGCAGCTTTTTGTGGTGGCAAAGAATTAGAAACCAAGGAGATGCCCGTCAAATAAGGAAATGGCTGAACAAATTGTGGTATAGGATTGTGATGGCATACTATTATGTTGTATGAAATGATGAAAGGAGTGGTTTCAGAAAATCCTGGGAAGACTTATATGAACTGATGCAAAGTGAAGTGAGCAGAACTAGGAGAATATTATACACAGTAACAGCAACATTGTAACAATAACAAACTGTGAAAGATTTGGCTATTTCTGATCAACACAATGATCCATGACAATATATCACAAAATCCATACACTATAGCCAGACTGAATGTATACCAAAAATGCTGGGCTGAATCAATATGAGGAAAACCATAAGCATAACTGACCATTTCAATATGAAAAATAACAAGAATCATATTATTATCTCCAAAAATGACAAAAAAGCTTTTGACAAAATGCAATACTCATTCCTATTTAAGACAAAAAACCCCAAACATTAGAAAGCATAAGGATAAATTAAGCTTTTCTTTAAATGATAAGTAATACCTATCTAAAATGAAGAACAAACATTATATGTAATAGGGATAAACTAGAAGCCTTTCTAGTAAGCTCAAGGTTGAAGCAAGGATGTTTATTCTCAACATTATTATTCAATACTGTTCTAGAAATGCTAGTTAGAGCAATAACACAAGAAATTGAAGGAGTAAACATATGCAACAAGGAAACAAAATGATGACTTTTTGCAGATATATGATGGTTTACTTGGAGGATCTTAGAGAGTTAACTAAAAAATTAGTCGAACAATTAACAGCTTTAATAAAGTTCCAGGATATAAAATGAACCCACACAAATCATCAGTATACCTCTCTCTCTCTCTCTCTCTCTCTCTCTCTCTCTGTATATATATATATACATACATGATATACATAATGATATATCTGTCTACCTATTTATTTATCTGTCTATCTATCTATCTATCTATCTATCTATCTATCTATCTATGCCAACAAAATCCAGCAAGAAGTGATAGAAAGAGAAATTCCATTTAAAATAACTGCAGACAGTATACAATATTTGGGACTCTACCTGCCAAGACACAGGAACCACATGAACACAATTACAAGAAATTCTTCATACAAGTAAAGACATCTAAATAACTGGAGAAATTTTAATTGCTCATAGGTAGGCTGTTCCAATACAAAAAAATGACAATACCACCTAAATTAATTTACTTATTCAGTGCCATACCGAACTACCAAAGAATTACTTTGTAGAGCTAGAAAAAAATAACAAGAATCATGTGGAAGAACAAAAGTTCATGCATATGAAGGGAATCAATGGGGAAAAAAAGTGATGGAAAGAATCCTAGCAGTACTAGATCTCAAACCATATTACAAAGCCAAAACCATCAGAACAATTTGTACTGGAAAAGAATTAGACAGGTTGACCAGTGGACTAGATTAGGTACACCATATACAGAAACAAATGAACAAAGTTACCTAGTGTTTGATAAACCCAAAGATCCTAGCTATTGCAGCAAGAACTTACTATTCTACTAAAACTGCTGGGAAAACTGGAAAGGAATCAGGAAGAAATTAGGCGTAGGCCTGCATTCTTCTCTCCAGAAAATCGTTCTGAAGAATAATTTAGAACTATGTCCAAAGGGCTATAAAATTGTGCATATACTTTGACCCAGCAATGCTGCTACTAGGTCTGTACCCCAAGGAGATCAAAGAAAAATGAAAAAGACCCACATACACAAAAATATTTATACCAGCTTTTCTTGTGGTGGCAAAGAATTGGAACTGAGAAGACGTCTAGCAATTGGGGAATGGCTGAACAAGTAATAATAATAATAATAATAATAATAATAGCTAATATTTATATAGCACTTACCAGGTGCCAAGCACCATGCTAAGTGCTTTATAGTTATTTCATTTAGGGTATATGGATGTAATGTAATAAGGCTGTGTTATAAGAAATGATGAAGGGGATGGTTTTAGAAATTCCTAGGAGGACTTATATGAAGTGATGTGAAGTGAAGTGAACAGAATCAGAACAATGTACATAGTAACAGCAATATTGTAGAGATAATCAATCATGAAACACTTATTAACTCAGATCAATAAAATGATCTCACAACTACAAAGGATTCATGATGAATAATGCTGTCCACCTCTAGAAAGAGAACTGATGGACTCAGAGTGCAAACTGAAGTATATGTTTTTCCTTTATTTATTTTTCTTGATTTTTTAAATTTCAAAATCTTTTTTTTTTAGGCAATTGGAGTTAAGTGATTTGCCCAGGGTCACATAGCTAGTAAGTGTCAAGGGTTTGGTCTGAGGCTGGATTTGAACTCAGGTCCTCCTGACTTCAGGAACAGTGCTCTATCCACTGTGCCCTCTTGCTCTTTTTTTTTTTAACACAGCAAATGTGTAAATATATTTTGCATGACTCCATATGTATAACATGTATAGTATTTCTTGCCTTTGCAATAGGTTGAGGAGGGAGAGAATTTGGAACTGAAAATCAAAATAAAAAATTTTTAAGAAGATCTGAATTCAAATCCCAAACACTTACTAGCTGTGTGACCTTATGCATGTCACTTCAACCAACCAGACCTGGCCTCAGTTTTCTCATCTATTTAACACAGGTGAGGGGCAGCTAGGTGGCGCAGTGGATAGAGCACCAGCACTGGAGTCAGGAGGACCTGAGTTCAAATCTGGCCTTAGACACATAACACTTACTAGCTGTGTTACTCTGGGCAAGTCACTTAACCCCACTGCCTAGCAGAAAAAGACAGAGGGAGAGAGGAGAGAGAGAAAGAGAGAGAGAGAATAACAATTCCTACCCCACAGGGTAATTGTGAGACTCAAATGAAATAATGAATACAATGTGCTTTGCAAATAAGCTATAAAGCATTATATAAATGAGTTATTAAATACTTATTGATTATTACAATCATTAGAAGAGTCAGGAATTCTTATTTCCAAACAAATAACTGTGCACATGCGGCAGATTTTGTTTCTAATTGGTAGATGGCTACCATTAGGCACAAATAGATATGTATGTAAAATTATTCTATACATACTTTTATTTATCAGTTTTTTCTCTGAATGCAGACAGCGTCTTTCTTCAGATATCCTTTATTTTTAATTTGTATATTTATAATAGTCGAAATGACAGTCGCTGAAAGTCGTTCTTAAAACAATATTGCTGTTATTTGTACATAATGTTCTCTTGGTTCTGCTCACTTAGCTCTTCATCATTTCATGCAAGTTTTTCCATGCCTTTACAAGATCAACGAGTTCATTATTTCTTATATCACAGTAGTATTCCATCACAACCTTACACCATGACTTGTTCAGCCATTCCTCAGTTGATGGGGATCTCTGCAATTTTCAGTTCTTTGACACTATAAAAAAAAGCTGCTATAAACATCCCATTCACATTCAAAGTTATAATTACTCTTTTTGAATTTCCCTCCATCTTATTTTTACTCATTATTTTCTTTGTCAGCCTTTCTTTTTACTCTATCCCTGTTACTTTATCTTTTCCCTCTGCCCTCCCACTCCCCACTTCATCCACCCCTCCAAACGTCATCCCATCTCCTCTCCCATCTCCCAATCTCAATCCACATACCCCTCCAAAAGTTCCCCCATTCTCACCCCCACCTTCCAAAATCCCAATGCATACATGCCTCTAAAAGTCCCTCCCCTACTCTGTCCCCCAGTTTTCTCACCTCTCTACACATTCAGAAGACTTCTATACCCTACACCTGTTGTTTCCTCTTCAACCCAAATGAGAGTAAGATTCCAACATTATCAGCCCTCCTTCCCCACCTGATTCTGCCTTTCTTAAAAAATTAATTTATTTTAAACTTAAACACTAAAACTTAAATACCCAAAAAGAAAAGAAAAAGAAATATATGCTTAAATACTAAAGCTTAAATACAAACTAGGAAAAGAAAAACAGCATTGCCATGTGCACAGGAGAACATAAGAGAGGATTCAAAATATACAGCAATAAATTTTCATTTCAAGAAAGCCTATATCATAAATATTTTTGGTAAATTTAAAAATTTTAAACTTAAATACAAAATAAAAAAAGAAAAAAGAAAGAAACTTAAATACAAAATAAGAAAAGAAAAAAACATTGCCACGTGCACGACAGAACATAAGAAAGGATTCAAAATATACAGCAATAAATTTTCATTTCAAGAAAGCCTATATCATAAATATTTTTGGTAAATTTCAAAATTTTAAACTTAAATACAAAATAAGAAAAGAAAAAAGAAAGAAACTTAAATACAAAATAAGAAAAGAAAAAAAAACATTGCCACGTGCATGACAGAACATAAGAAAGGATTAAAAATATAAAGCAATAAATTTTCATTTCAAGAAAACTTATATAATAAATGCTACACATTGTGTTCAGAGCTGTCCATCTTTTCTTTACTTCCTTGTAGGTTTTATTTTGTTCTCTGCTATACACTTTTTACTTCGTTCTTTTCCCCCACTTCCTCCCCCTCTCCCCAAGAGGGCTGGATACATGTATGTATGTGCGTACATATGTATATATATGTATATATATATACTCACACTAATATAGACATACATACAAACACACAAACATATATATACATAAATACATACATTTGCATACACATACATATACATAGATATCTATAATCACACACGTATATGCACATATACATTCATATGCATCTTTGTAAAACTGTACTATACTTACTTATCCTCTGTTTCTCTGAAGGTAGATAACATCTTCCACCTTAAGTCCAAGTCTTTTCATATTTTTCTAAATCCACCAACTCATTTTCTCCACCACAGCGGTATTCTCACTTTATATTGTCTAGTCATTTTAAATAGTCTAAAGGAAAATTGATTTGGGGAGGGAGGAAGGGAGAAAATTTGGAACCCAAAGTTTTAAAAACACATGTTAAAAAAAATTGTTTTCACATGCAACTGGGAGATAAGAAATACAGGAAGTGGAGTATAGAAATCTATCCTGTCCTGCAGGAAAATAGAAAGGGAAGGGGATAAGAGAAGTGGGAGAGAGATAGAACAGAGGGCAGACTAGGGGAAGGCGTATTCAGAATGCATGTTATCTTGGGGTGGAGGGAAGGATGAGATGGGGAGAAAATTTGGAACTCAGAATCTTGTGGAAGTGAATGTTGAAAACTAAAAATAAATAAATTCAAATGTAAAAAAAAGATATCCATGGAAAGAAAAAAAGAAATGTAGAAATGAATGGGAGAATTGAGGGGAGAAGGCTGATGAGTAACAGTGAAGTTCACTCTGTCTTGTCCAAATCCTTGTTGTTGGCATTGATGGGCCTCTAGGTCATTGTCTCCCCTCCTTAATATGTGTATCCTTCCTTGGCTTACAGTATTTTTAAATTAAAACTTTTGCATTTAAAAAAAATTTTTTTTAAATTTTAGCTCCCCCCCAAAAATAAATAAATAAAAATAAAAGAATATTGATTAATATGGCTGACATAGTGTAGTTTCCCTATTTTTCTCTTTTGATTAAATTTATTTAGTTTTAACTTTGTCTACGATCATGATTACTATACCTGCTTTTTTTCCTTAATAAATTCTACTCCTGATCTTAGTTTATGTTTGTGTGTCTCTTATTTCCTATCCCTCATGACTCTTCTACTTCATTTCTACTTGCTATCTTGCCCTTCCAATACCTAACCTATACCCCACCACCACCAAGATCCCTCCCTCATCCTACCTCCCACCCTTTCTGCTTGCCCTCTTGTTTCTATCTGAATTTAGGAGACTTTTATAGTCTTCTAAATATATGTGTGTATATATATATATATATATATATATATATATATATATATATATATATATGTATGTATGTATATATGTTGTTCCTTCTTTATCCCATTAATCTGGACACCCTTCTATAATCCCCCCTTATCCTATTCCCTGACTCTCTTATTTCTTTATAAACTTAGAAGACTTTTATTCCCTTATAAATATATCATTCTCTCTTTAACCCAGATCCAATGTGAGTAGGGTTCCCTCTAAAAATCCCTCCCCCTGTCCCTATCCCCTTAGCTTTTTATTTCTTTCTGAATTTAGAAGACTATATATGTATTGTTCCCTCTTTAACCCATTCCCAATGAGAGTAGGATTCCAGAACTACCAGCCCTCCTACCCCATCTAATTTCTCTGTGTCAGTTCTTCCTCTCACATCTCATTTGTATAAGATAATTACTCTTTTTACCTTTTCCTAGATGGTGTTACTTTTCAGAATCATATCATACTCAACTCTACCCTTTCTTTTGAACTACCCAATTACTAATTACAATTTTAGACATACAGTTTACATTTCCTTGCATAAAAAGTACAGTTTGTCCTTATTGAGTCCCTTGTAATTAGTCATTGATGTTTACCTTATATTTCTCTTGGATCTTGTTTACTAAATTTTCTATTAAGTTCAGGTATTTTTCCAATAAAATCCTGAAAGTCTGGCAATTCATTAAAAATCCATTTTTTTTTCACTCGGGATTAGGTGTAACTTTGCTGGGTATGATATTTTCAGCTGCAACCTCAGTTATTTTGCTCTCCAATAAAAAGTGTTAAAAGACCTGTGGGCTTTTAGTGTTGCCACTGCTAGGTCTTGTGTGACTATAATTGTGGCACTGCCATATTTAATTTTTTTTTCTTGTTTCTTATAATATTTTCTCCTTGAGGTGGGGATTTCAGAATTTAGCTATGATATTCCTGAAGGTTTTCCTTGTAAGATCTCTTTCAGGTGGTGATTGGTGTATTTTTTCTATTTCTACTTTCCCTTCTTGTTCTAACACTTCAGGACAATTTTGTTTAATTATTTCTTTTATTATTGTATCAAGATCCTTTTTTTTTTTTTTGGTGAGGCCCTCAGGGTTAAGTGACTTGCCCAGGGTCACACAGCTAGTAAGTGTCATGTGTCTGAGGTCACACTTGAACTCAGGTCCTCCTGACTCCAAGGCCAAAGCTCTATCCACTACGCCACCTAGCTGTTCCTCTTTTTTTGTTTTTTATGGTAGCTTTCAGGTAATCTGATTATTCTTATGTTTTCTCTTCTTGATTCGTTCTCCAGATCAGTTGTTTTTCTTATGAGATATTTCACATTCTCTTCTATTTTTTCATTCTTTATGTTTTGTTTTATTATTTCTTGGTCTCTTGTAACTTTTCTGGCTTCCCCTTGCCCAATTCTAATTTTCAAGGATTCATTTTCTTCTTTCAGATTCTGGATCCCCTTTTCTAATTGGTTAACTTTTTTTCATCATCTTATTTTTCTTGGATTGTTCTTATTTTTTAAAAAATTTCCTCAATCTCTCTCATTTGATTTTTAAAGTCTTTTTTAAGTTCTTCTATGAATTCTTTTTGGGCAGGTGACCATTTGACATTACTCTTTGGGGTACAAGAGGCTGTTTTTGCTTCAGTATCCTCCTCTTAAGACAAACTTCTCTTTTACCATAGTAACTTTCTATGGTTGGGTTCTTTCTCATTTGCCTGCTCATTTTTTTTTTATGGCAGCCTCTAGTCCTAGGGTGTGGGGATGGTGTTTCTGGCCTCAGATCCTTCTTCAGTTGTCCCCTAGGGCCTGGAACCAAAACCAAGACCCCCACCCTCCTGTTAGTGTCCACAGCCAATGTCTACTGCTTCTGCACTCACTGGGCATACTGGTTCTTTTTCGCCCAGGGCCACATCTTGGCCGCGCAGCTGGCTCTGGTGTCCTTTATCAGCAAAGGTTCCCTCAATCTTCCCCCACTCAGATGCCCAGCTCCCCATACCGTTTGGGAGGTGAAAATTCCTGTGGGTGGGCTTGAGGTTACCTCCCAACTCAGCTCACCCCAGAGCTTGCTGCTTGCTGTCTTAGCAGAACTATCCTGGAGGTGTTTACACTTCATAGGGACCAATCTATTCTCCAGTTGTCTGGGAGGACTACTGTTCTGCTCTAAGTCTTGTTTATTTTTACAGCCCTGCGTTTGCTGTTTTGTCTTATTTGTGGGGGAAATCTGGAGAGCTTGGAATTTTCTGACCTACTCTGCCATCTTCTCAGAATCCCTCTCAGAATCCTCTTACAAATCTTCCTTTCATACCCCATTTTTAGAATATAATTGCTTCCTTTTACCTTTTCCTACCCAATTTTGCTTTTTAGAATCATCCTGTCATACACATCTCAGTCCCGATATTTCTTTTAAACTACCTTAATAATGGTGACAGTTTTAAGAATACTGATGACATTTTCGTATATGTGTGTGTGTGTGTGTGTATATATATATATATATATATATATATATATATATATATATAATATAATATAATAAGTAAATAGTTTGACCTTAATGAGTGACTTATAATTAATCTTTAGTGTTTTCCTTATGTTTCTTCTCGATCTTTCATATCAAATCTGCCATCGAGTTCTGGTCTTTTTGTTACAAATACCTGAAAGTTTTTCAGTATGTCAAATGTCCATTTTTTAAATTCAGTATTATACTCCACTTTGCTGGGTAAGTTATTCTTGGACACAACTCCAGCCTTTTGTTGTTTCTCTTTTCCTTTCCTTTTAAAGCCCCAATTCACCTCAGCCTCTGCACCTCTGGCTCTCTTCTTCAGCTAGCAGACTACTTGAACTCAGCCCCATAGCTGCCTCCCTTCCCTCTCCTCCTGACTCACCCCCTCCTTCGTCTGTCTTCTCCATGCAGGATGTGTTTAAGTCGTCACCCCACTTCTCTTCCCCCCACCTTTGCCTTTTCTACCTTCCCTGTTGGATGGAGAAGTCAAACTGGAGTCCTGTTTGGGGACTGGGGATGGCTAATGGCTTTTCCCAGAACCGGTTGGGACTCAGTTCTTTCCTCTTAAGCATCAGAGGCAAGGGGAGGGAGGGGGAGAAACAGGGTGTCTTGAACTCACTTGGCCAAGCAGACAGAAAGGACTTTCCTCCTCTTTCAGCAGCTCCTGCCTGAATCCCGTGTCTAAAGTCAATAAATCCAAAGTTGCTTCTTGGAGAAGGCAGCAGGCTCCAGCTGGCCTTGGGTTGATCTGCGGAAAAGGTACGTTTCAGTAGATGAGGGACAAAGTTGCTGAAGGAATTCCCTGCCTCCCTCAGTTTTCACCAGGCTAAGCAATTGGCCCAGGGCGAGGAAGTGGGACAGGGGCGGTCTGAAATCCTACACTCTCTTTTCGGTCACACTCTTCTGAAAAATACCAAAACTTAAGGCTCTTTCCCCCACACCAGAATGTAAACTATGGCTTTGAACTCATTCCTACAGAACTACCGTCAGAGCTGCCTCAAACCGTGTCACTACGCACGCAACACGTTCCATAGCTGGAAGACGTGTCCTGGCAGGCCACCCAAGAGAGAAAGTGAGAACCGTGGAAAGAGCCCGGGGTGAAAAAAGGAAGACGTGGAATTGAAAGAGGTGGAAGTGCAATTCTTAATGCTGACTGATCAACGACAGAATTCTGAGCAAGTCAGCCACCTCTCTGTGCCTCAGTTTCCTCAGATGAGAGTGGAATCTGAGTGTCCTCACCTCCACTCTAATTGTTTTTTTTTATTATTTCGAACTTAAACACAAAAAGAGGATATTTCCATACACATATCAGAACAGAAAAAGAAAATTCTATATAAAACCATGAATCTCTATTTATGCCAACTGTTATTTGTTTGTTTGTTTTTAAAGAAAAACATCTGGGAAATTCTATACACTGCTTTCAAGATAGTCCCATTGTATTTTTTGGTTTCTGAACTTCTGCTCTCTCCAGTGAATTTAAGAGAATGTTACAATGGCTTTTTTTTTTTTTATCACTGTTGCTAACCCTTTCTCTCCCTAGCCCTAGTCCCATTAAAAGAAAAAAAAACTAGAAAGAGACAGAGAGACAGACGGAGGGAGGGAGAGGGAGAGGGAGGGAGAGAGACAGAGACAGAGAAAGAGAGAGAAAAGGAGGAAGGGAGAAAGTGGGAGAGGGAGGGAGGGGGAGACACAGAGACAGAAACAGAGAGACAGAGACAGAGAGAGGGAGGGAGGGAGAGACACACGGAGACAGAGAAACAGAGACAGAAACAAAAAGGTAGAAAGAAAAACTCCTGTAACAAATAAATACAGTCAACCAAAATGAATCTATACCATAGACATGTCCAAGAATGTCTGTCTCTCTCTACATCTTGTGTCTCTTATCTCCCAGGAGAAAGTAACATGCTTCATTATTGGTCCTCTGGAGACATGGCTGGTCATTGCTCTGATCAGAGTTCTAAGACTTTCAAAGTTGTTTTTCCTTTTATGTTGCTGTTTTGGTAAAAACTGTTCTCCTGGTCCTGCTCTGGACCACTCTGCATCAGTTCATACTTTCCAGGTTTCTCCAAAATTGTCTCTTTCATCAATTCTTGTAGCACAATGAGAGTCCATTACATTCATATTCCTGGTTGGTTCAGCCATTTCCTAATTTGTCTAAGAGGTGATTTAAGGCAGAGAAATAATTTCCTTTTTAAAAAATATTTTATTTTTTCCCAATTACATGCAAAGTCAATGAATTTAACATTCATTTAAAGAAATTTTGAGTTCCGAATTTTTTCCTCCTCTCCCTTCCTGAGACAATAAGCAAACTGGTGTAAATTATATATGTGCAATCATGCAAAACATATTTCTGTATTAGTCATGTTGTTGAAGAAGACACAGACTAAAAGAAAAAAAACATGAAAAAGAAAGTGAAAATATGCTTTGATCAGATTCCATCAGTTCTTTTTTATTTCAAACTTAAGAAATAAAGCAAATATTTCCATAACATGGTAAAATAGAAAAACAGATGATAGCACATGAAACTGCATATCTATTATGTATAACTTGCTATTCCTTTTAAATATATAATAAAGTTATCATGTAACTTTCTTTTTCCTCTCTCCCCTGCCCTAGAGATGGCTACCATTAGACGAAATACACACACACACACACACACACACACACACACACACACATGCAAAGCCATTCTATATATACTTCTATTTATCAGTTCTTTCTCTGGCTGCAGATAGCATCTTACTTCATAGATCCTTTGTAGTTAATTAATAAATAGTCAAAATGACTCAGTTGCTCAAAGTTGTTCTTAAAACAATATTGCTGTTATTGTATATGATGATCTCTTGGTTCTGCTTATTTTGCTCTTTATTTTTTTCATGTAAGTCGATTTTTCTAAGATCATCAAACTTATCATTTCTTATACCTTGAGATATCATTTTACACCTATCAAATTGGCTAAAGTGATAGTGCAGAAATAATTTCCTGTGGAATAATGTGGAAAATTGCATATGTTATAATGAACACGATGCAGTCAGTTACATTTGGTGACTAAGATGAAGAAGATAGTAGCTTTTTGAATTATTTTCATCTTGTGAATACATAGGGTATTTTTCATAAGGAAATTTTATATATATCATGAGCAATCCCTCCACTTAAATACCCAGACATGATTTTCGAGAGTGTCTCACTGACCCAACCTTTCATAGCTGCTTTTTATCCATGTACATCTTTTCACACAGGAAGAATAACATGTGTGTGACTTTTTATCTCTAGTTACTCTTCCCTAAAAGCCAAAAAAAAAAAGGGGGTTAGAGGGTCAGCTGCAATTAACTAACCCTTCAATCTAGAATGTTTTGTGACAGTTTGTAAAGGAGTTTGGGTTTGTTTAGAACATAAATCCATGTGCTTTTCCATCTCTTCTGGAGTGGCTGCAGTTCTGAAAAGCACCAGGAAGCTGGTGTAGGTTTTGCAATCAAATCTAATCTTGCTTGTATGCCTCCCAAAGGGAGTGAATGGCAGGCTCATGAAAACACAATTGCCACTTGCAGGAAAACACTACACCACCATCATCGGTGTATGCGCTCCTACCATAATGAATCATGATGAGGTATAAAAAAAACCATTTTATGAAGAGGACAACAATGTCAAAACATGTATGGACAAAACCCCAAATTAAAATGGAAAATGGCCTCAAGCCCAGAAAGAACTCATGGAAGAGCTCAAAAAGGAGCTTAAAAATCATATAAGAGAGGTAGAAGGAAAATTGGGGAAAGAAATGAGAATCATGTAAGAGAATTATGAAAAAAAAGAGTCAACAGCTTGGAAAAAGAAAGCAACTGCTTAAAAAGTAGAACTGGCCAAATGGAAAAGGAGATATAAAAATCCACTGAAAAAACCAACTCCTTAAAAAGTAAACTTGGTCCAATGGAAAAGGAAGTACAGAAGCTAATTGAGGAAAACAATTCCTTAAAAGTTAGAATTGGGCAAATGGAAGTGAATGACTCTATGAGACATCAAGAATCAATTAAATGAATTCAAAAGAATGAAAAAATAGAAGAAAATGTAAAATACCTTATTGGAAAAACAACTGCTGGAAAATAGATCCAGGAGAGACAATGTAAGAATCACTGGACTACCTGAAAGCTATAATCAAAAGGAAGACTTGGACAGCATCTTTCAAGAAATTATCGCGGAAGACTGCATTTGTGTCCTAGAACCAGAGGGCAAAATAAGCATTGAAAGAATTCACCGATCACCTCAGAAAAGAAATCCCGAAAAAAAACCTTCAAGGAACATTCTGAAAGGCAAAGGAGCTAAGACTACATCCAAGAATCACCTACCTGGTGAAATTAAGCATCATACTTCAAGGGGAAAAAAATGGCTATTCAATGAAATAGAAAGATTTCAAGCTTTCATAAGAAGACCAGAATTGAACAAAAAAAAATTTGATCTCCAATATCAAGACCCAAGAGAAGCCTAAAAGGGTAAAAAGGGGGAAAGAAAACATAAAGGATTCAATGGAGCTGAACTGTTTACAAGATGATACTTGTGACTCTTAAAAATTGTGCCACTAATAGTACAGCTGGAAAGACTATACATAGAAAAAGGTATAGGTATAAGGGGAATTTGAGGATATGAAAAAAAATTAAAGGATGAGAAAGAGGAGCACACTGGGTGAAGAAGGAAGGGAGAGGTAGAATGGGGCAAATTATTTCTGTGAAAAGGCACAAAAAAAACCTGTTATGATGGAGGAAAAAATGGGGGAGTGGGTGATGGGCATCGCCTGAACCTTTTTCTCTTTAGTATTGGCTCAAAGAGGGAATAATATACACAATCAATTGAATATAGAAATCTATCTCATCTGACAGGAAAGTAGGAAGGGGGAAGATTAAATGGAGTAGGGAAACTGACATAAGGAGGGAAGACCAGGGGAAGTGGTAGACAGAAGCAAAACTTCAGTGAGGAGGGAAAGGGTGAAAGGGTGAAAGAGAGGACAAACGAGGGAAAATAGGATGGAGGGAAATACACAGTTAGTAATCATAACTGTGAATGTGAATGGGATAAACTCTCCCATAAAACCGAAGTGGATAGTAGAGTAGATTAAAAAAACCAGAATCCTACAATATGTTGTTTATAAGAAACACACTTGAAGCAGAGAAAGACACAGAGTAAAGGTAAGGGGCTGGAACAGAATCTGTCAGCTGACGTGCAAAAAAAAAGCAAGGGTGGCAATCCTGATCTCAGACAAAGCAAAAGCAAAAATAGACCTAATTAAAAGAGATAAGGAAGGAAACTACATCTTGTGAAAAGGTACCGTACACAATGAAGTAATATCCATACTAAACACACTAAAACACGCGCGTGCACACACACACACACACACACACACACACATATATAAACATATGCCAAGTGGTATAGCATCCAAATTCCAAATCCAAGTTCATGACCAAAGAATAGAGAGCATTATGAAATGTAAAATAGATAATTTTGATTATATTAAATTTAAAAGCTTTTCCACAAACAAAACCAATGCAACCAAGATTAGAAGGGAAGCAATCTTTACAGCCAGTGTCTCTAATAAAGGCCTCATTTCTCAAATATATAGAGAACTGAGTCAAATTTATAAAAATACAAGCCATTCCCTAATTGATAAATGGTCAAAGGATATGAACAGGCAGTTTTCAGATGAAGAAATCAAAGCTATGTATAGGCATGTGAAGAAGTGCTCTAAATCACTTTTGATTAGAGAATTGCAAATTAAAACAACTCTGAGGTACCACCTCACACCTATCAGATTGGCTAATATGACAAAAAAGGACATGATAAATGTTGGAGAGGATGTGGAAAAATTGGGACACTAATGCAGTGTTGGTGAAGTTGTAAACAGATCCAATCATTCTGGACAGCAAATTTGGAACTATGCTCAAAGGGCAACCAAACTGTGTATAACCTTTGATCCAGCAATACTACTACTAGATTTGTAGATTTAGTAGAGAGACCACAAAAAAGGGGAAAGGACCTACATGTGCAAAAACATTTATAGCAGCCCTTTTTGTAGTGGTAAAATATTGGAAATTGAAGGGATGCCCATCAATTGGGGAATGGCTGAATAAGCTGTGAATTGGTTATTGTCCTTCATTCTCGAAGAGGACCAAAATGACATCACTATGTTGGGGTCAAGTCACAGTACGTCCAACTGTGGTTGATCAGACCACTATGAGGTCCGAATGTCACACCACAGATCAGGCACAAATAGTCCAAGTGAATATTTAGGGTGGATTCTCTAAATTTGTGCATCTCACATTTCTTTTGAGCTACTTCAATTCTATTTCACTCATAAAGCACCTCCTCTGGTGAGGGCATGCCTTGCTGGGTGGTCTTGTGCCAATGTCTCCCATTGCTTATAATCTATTCCAAAATTTTCAAGACAGACCTTGAGAGTGTCCTTGTATTGCTTTTTCTGACCTCCGTGTGAGCACTTGCCCTGTGTGAGGTCTCCATAAAGTAGTATTTTTGGCAAGTGTACATTGGCATTTGAACAATGTGGCCAGCGTATCAGAGTTGCTCTCTCTGCAATAGAATTTGAATGCTTGGCAGTTTAGTTTGAGAAAGGACCTCAGTGCCTGGTATCTTATCCTGCCAGGTGATCTTCAGAATCTTCCTAAGACAATTCAAATGGAAGCAATTCAGTTTCCTGGCATGATACTGGTAGACTGTCCAGGTTTCACAGGCATACAACAATGATGTTTGCACAATAGCTCTGTAGACCTTCAGTTTGGTAGTCAGTCTAATATCTCTTCTCTCTCACACTTCACTTTGGAGCCTTCCAAACACTGAGCTAGTTTTCACAATGTGTGTGTCAACCTCATTATCAATGTGTATATCCCTGGAAAGTGTACTGCTAAGGTAAGTGAAGTTATCCACGGTGTTCAAAACTTCTCCATTTGTTGTAACCAATGGTTCCACATATGGATGGTGTGGTGCTGGCTGCTCCATCAGCCTGATGGATCACCTGTGTTTTTGTGGTGTTAATTATTAGGCCAAAATTAGCACAAGTAGCAGAGAATTGATCCGCACTTTGTTGCATCTCAGCTTCAGTCTGCACTGAGTTCACAATCATCTGCAAACCAAAAATCATGCACCAACACTCT